AGTAACCCCCTCGCCTGGCATTCTCGTGGCCTCGCCATATCTTGGAGATTTCGAATTTTCGGCCCGAACGGAAGCCATAAAGGGTACACGTGTGCACACAAAAGGAAGATTAATCATTGAATGTCGAGTATTTGAATAGCGCGTTTTGTGTAAACTAATTCATGCTTGATCGGCCAAGTGCGTGCGTGCGTGTGCGCGCACACACACACACACACACACACACACACACACACACACACACACACACATTTATTTATTTATTTATTTCCGGAATTTTCAGAAAAGTCCACTTTCATCTCTGCAAACCTCGCTTCAGACACGTGAAAAAGAGTGACATAAATAGAGACAGCGGAGGGGAGGGGGATGGAAAATGACAGAGCCGGCTCTCGAGGGAGGGGGGCCGTTTCTCATTGGTTCACTTCAAAGACCCGGCTCTTTGTACCGGCTGGTTCGCGACCGACACATCACTCGGAGGATGACATGCATGTGAAGGAAGATAGTCACTGAACTGTGTATGCCGCTCGTCCCAACTTGATCCACCCATAATTGTCAGTTTAATCCTGGTGATATTCAGGTAATTGGTAGCTATTTTACCACGAATCGTGTTAGGTGTTACATTTGGACGGGTGATTAATTATTTGAATAGTATTTCTTGAGCAAAATGTCGTGGTTTGGAATTTGAAATCTGCCGCTCGCTCGTGAGTCGTGTGAACAGCTGTACAGTGTAAGTGTTCGCAACGTTACAAGATGTGAATTTTTTTTTTTTTTTTTTTTTTACTGTAAAATTGTATGAACTGTCTCGAACTGTCTCATCTGTTCTTTAGAGGGGAGATCATTTGTTTTTTTCCATGTGTTTTGAATGCATCCAACACGCCGGAAAATGTCGAGTAAGTGTGTCCTCTCAACACATTGGATTGTAATGATTAGTCGGTCTGCACTTTTAAGTTTCGTGGAATGTTGTGGCTTTGGAATAATGTATTTTTATTTCTCTTTCCCTATCAAGCAAGCCACTGCTGTTGTTTATTACTGTGTAATTTTATTTAATCTGGTATATAATTTTCTTTGATCTCTTAGATCCCTTTTCTTCCACTTCTCAAAATTCAGTTAACGTCTCAGTCTTTCATCTTAACGCTGTACAATGTTGAATTGTTCAGTTGGGATTAAAGCCCACATAACAATTATTTTGTGTTCAGTCCAGTCTTTCCAAAGACCCGGCTACGTTTAATTGTCGTTTTGTCGAATGGAGGTTTTTATCCGTTAAGTTAATGGTGTTGTCTGTTGCTCAGTGATGTCGGAGACCGAGACCCCAATGCTACTTCATCGATCCCTCCTGCCATACGGTGTTGCAGGTAATGTTTGTTTCCTTTTGGTTTTACTGTATATAGTTGCTCGTGTCAAATGAAAAATGACACAGTTACACCAACGGCCAAACACACGCCAGTAACACGCCATAACCGATATTACTGGCGTCTGTTCGCAGTTCGTCGCGACCGCCATTACTGTCCCTTGTGCAGCCGTTTCTGCTGTACGTGATGTGTTCAGTGACATCACGTAAGTAATAGTGAAGGTGTTCTTTTTCTCCTTTTCTGTACATAATTACGATACGATCACACATGTTGTGAATTTGGTTTTGTTGTCTATATTGTTTTGTTTTGCATGATGTTTTGCAAGGGAGAGCCGACAAGAAAGTCGCATGTTATCCGAGACCGAGACCCCAATGCGACTTCATCTAGCCCACCTGCCATACTGTGTTGCAGTATTTCACGAAAGAAAAAGCCACCTCCACATTATTATTGTTGTTATTATTATTCGTGTTATTGAGGCGGCAGCATCGTGGAGCTCAAGACAGACAGTCACAGATGTGACACCCGTCACATCTCCTCAGATGATGTTTAAGATGAGACAACCACTGGTCAAGCTCAGCACCAGGAAGGTCCAGATTGGCTTTCATGGCCTGCATCACAGACTTGGAAACGCCCTTCAAAATGCCTGCTCGGAACACTTGCGAATGCAAGGCGGAGGCCATCGATGCGTGTCCTGTTTTCAGAGTGCAACCAGTGAGGGCCCGGTCAACAAAGGCTGCAGCCTCCTCTCTCCTTTGGGAGTGAACACCAAATCTGAGATAACACACTCAAGGAGGGGAAACAAAGTGTTGAAAGCTGTGGACAAGGTCATGTAATTTTCTTGTGTAAGGGCCTGATTGTCGGGAAGAGAAGAGAAGCCTGAGTTTTGCAACAAAGTATTTGATTGTGAAAGCGGACATGCTTGTGTTAGGAGAACGCGGATTTCACCTGCTGTCAAATTTTGTCCTGTAACCGCTCTGTGCACTGTTTGAAGAGAAGGATTTTCGGAAGATTCTTCTGGGTCTGCAAGACCTCTGGTTCGGTCCAAAACGGGGTCAGGGTGTGCATCTGAAAGAATCTGGACATAACAACTTAATTTTTTGAATTGATTCTGTAATTGAGCAACGTGGAACCTGTTTTCCTTCTCTTCATTTGAAGGACCTCTAGTTGCGTGTTCTGCAGCATAGAGAGCAGCTTCCTGTTCCATTTTCAGTTGGGCAGCATCTCGTTCAGCGCGAAGAGCGCGATTCTGCTCTTCTGCCTCAGTGTTTGCTCTGTCTTCATGTTCAGTGGCGATTTTCTGAAGTCGATCTCTAATATTTTGTGGAACCTCTTGGTGTCTGTTTTATTCTGTCATGTATAGTCTTATCTGAGTCAGACGTGTGAATGGGTCGGCCTTCAAGTCTGCAACTTTTTGTAATTTATCTTCTAATTCTCTCATGGCGGCGGTAACCCCAGCAGACAAAGTTTCTGCAACTTTATTCATGTTTGATGTTGTCTGTTGTGAGCGAATGAGAGACGCTGGATCGTCTACAACTACTTCAAGTCGGCCTGTAGTTACATTCAATATTGGAGCCTGAACTTCACTCAGCGCTTTCCAAATTTCACGGCAAGGTGACGGCATGCATGGGCCAGTTGGAGACTATGTTGCAAGGATTTTCTCCTCCGAGTAAGATGGTGGCGCAGAGGGCCTTTTCGGTGTTGGCGGTACCAGAGCAACACTTCCTTCCCCGATGGCCACGTGGGACAACTTTAACGCACACCCCATTGCCATCATCCTTGCTCTATCTTTCATTTCAACAACTATCTTTCATTTCAACAACTTTCTTGCAGTTGACACACACACACACACACACACTCACCCTGATGAACTACATTTAAAAAAAGACATGGCAAGGCACAGAGCCATGAGGAAAAAAGCACTCAATGGGAGCTAGCTGGCGTGTCCATCACATGAAGCCCCCACCCCACCCAGAAAAAAATACAGTAAAATAGGAAATCCGCAGCACATGCTCATAGGTATCTTGTGATATGTGATATGTATCTGTGTATCTGTGTTGATCGGGCTTTTCTAATCACCTTCATTCAAAATATAAATCATAATTCCACACGTGTTTGTCTTCATGTGTCTTTCAGACATCAGCGAAGATGTTTGTCCTGAGCGGCTGGATGCAGAACCTTATCACATCAAAGAGGAAGAGGAGAAAAAAGAGATCTCCCACTTAAAAGAGGAAGTGGAGCAGCAGGCCCAATATATTAAAGAGGAGGAGCTACAGCACCCTTGCACGAAAGTGGAGGCGGATGAGCCCCCTAACATCAAAGAAGAGGAGTAGGATATCTGCAAGGTGCCATTTCCTGGTGTCCTTCTGAAGACGATTAATGAGGCGGACAGAGAGGCTCGAAGCAGCAGCTCATGTCATCACTTGACAACAAAAAGTGTTGGAATCGACCAGGAAGAATCAAAAGCAGATGGCCTCTTAGCTCCACGATCAGATAGTGACAACACGTCGTCAAATGCAGATGATGATGATGAGGAGGAGGATGAAGATGAGTTTGAAGGTGATCTGACATATAACACACACAACAAACCCTGGAAATGTTCTCCCTGTGGGAAAATGTATGCTTGTAAAGGTGCTTTGGAATTACACATTAGACAACACACTGGTGAGAAACCGGTCACCTGTTCAGACTGTGGCCGGAATTTTTTTTTTGTAAGGGAACCTTAACAGGTCACACAAGATCCCACACTGATGAGAAACCTTTTTCCTGCTTAGTTTGTGGCCAAAGATTCTCTCAAAAGGGAAGTTTAAAACGTCACACAATAACCCACACTGGTGAGAAACCTTTTGCATGCACCGACTGTGGGCAAAGATTTTCTCACAAGGGAAACTTAAAAAGTCACACTAGAACACACACTGGTGAAAATTGTGTTGCCTGCACACTTTGTGGCCAAAGATTCTCTCAGAAGGGACACTTAAAATATCACATAAGAACACACACTGATGAGAAACCCTTTGCCTGCACAGTTTGTGGCCAAAGATTCTCTCACAAGGGAAACTTACAAACGCACAAAATTATCCACACTGTTGAGAAACCTTTTGAATGCACCAACTGTGGGCAAAGATTCTCTCTGACGGGACACTTAAAAAAATTACACAAGAACATACACTGTTGAGAAACCCTTTGCCTGCACAGTTTGTGAACAAAGATTCTCTCAGAAGAGAAGCTTAAAACACCACACAAGAACCCATACTGGTGAGAAACCTTTTGCATGCACCGACTGGGAAAAGATTCTCTGAGAAGGGAAACCTCGAACGTTACACAAGAAAACATACTGGTGAGAAGCCTTTTGAATGCACAGACTGTGGGCAACGATTTTCTCAAGAGGGAAACTTAAAAATTACACACAAGAACACACACTGGTGAAAAACCTTTTGCCTGCGCAGTCTGTGGCCAAAGATTCTCTCAACAGGGCAGTTTAAAATGTCACACAATAACCCACACTGGTGAGAAACCTTTAGCATGCACTGACTGTGGGCAAAGATTCTCTCACAAGGGACACTTAAGAATACACACAAGAACACACACTGGTGAGAAACCTTTTGAATGCACCAACTGTGGGCAAAAATTTTCTCAAGAAGAAAACTTAAAACGTCACACAAGACCACACGCTGGTGAGAAACCTTTTGCCTGCGCAGTTTGTGGCCAAAGATTCTCGTGGAAGTATCAGATTAAGAATCACAAGTGTGATGATGAGACAAGCAGTTATTGAAGTTTTCACTTCTCATCTGAGCAGGTTTCGGGTTTGTGTGTGCCAAGGCTGATTGTATTTGATGTACCTTCTAACTCGTCCTGAAGTTTTCTTTTCCTTGAGTGCATTGAAAAGTTGTTTTTTTTTCCGGTTGTTGGAATGAATTAGGAAATGTAGCATTTTCATGAGGGTTATCATACTTTTGGAATCTCCATGGGAGTTAGTTTTCATTTGGTTGTGAGCTGTGGTTTTTAAATTTAGTTTGTTGTATTCAGAGGAGGTTAGGTCATTGGTATTCATTTTTTTTCCTCCTCAAAACTCAACAGTCCTTGAATTGTATGAAATGTATTTTGTCTTCAATTGCTCCATGTGCTTATTTCTTCCCATCCACCTGATGTCAATCACCTTCGGAGGTGATCAGAGTTTAAAGGCCAGTTGGGATGTGGAGTTTTTTTAATGAGCAACGAAAGAATAGTAATGTAATCTGTGCACAAAATGCTAATTTGTGTTTATTTGACATAAATGTTAGTGTCTCCATCCTGTTTCATTTGGGCCATGAATAAAATATTTCAAATGTCAGTGTAATTACTTTTTGCATGTTATGCTTTAAAAAAAAAAGTAGAACTGAATATTCACTCACTTTGTCTCAGTGTAAACTTTTCTGCGTTCAGTTTAATTGTCTTTTGTCCACACCGCTTCCTGGAAAACCCCTGGACTTCTTCTGATCCAGTCTGTGCCACACACTACCTCTGTGCTCAAGATCTGGAAGCTCCCCTTTCAATAAATGCTTTGTCGTGCCCCTCCCACACACACTCTCTACACTACTGCTCTGACAGAAATGTTCTGTTTTGGTTTATTTTACAGTATATTTAGCAAAAATATTTTCCAAAATAGGGCAGCCCGGTGGTCCAGTGATTAGCGCATCAACCTCACAGTGCAGCGGTCGTGGGTTCAATCCTGGGCCCGGCCTACCTGTGTGGAGTTTGCATGTACTCCCCAGGCCTGCGTGGATTTTGTTTGGTTAGTCCGGTTTCCCCCACATTCCAAAAACATGCATGGCAGGCTGATTGAACACTCAAAATGTGTCCCTAGATATGAGTGTGAGCGTCTATGGTTTTTTGATCCAGAAAAAAAAAATTTTATACTGTGTATCTGATTAATTTGCATTGCGTTCACTGTGCTGGACAGGTTTTCATGTGTGCTGAGAGTGTGTGACCAGTGTGCAGGTGTGCAGCTTAAAAGGAACATTGGTGCCGTTGCAGGGAAAAGTAAATCTAAATGAAAGGTATGGCAAGCCATTTGAATATTTATTCCACATCCCTGATATCTCTGGCAAGCCATTTGAACATTTATTCCATATCCCTGATGTCAGACATTTGTGTGTTGCACTATTTCGGTCTTCTTCAGCACTAGTTGGACAATCAGCCGCACTCGTGATGCACTTTGTCGTCCAAGTTTTATATAATATATCCTGTTCTCCGGCGAGGCAAGGGTTGCCGTCACTTCTTGTTCCTGTTCTCCGGCGAGGAAAAGGTCGCCGTCGCTTTTAGTTCCCGTTCCCGGGCTAGGCAAGCCTTTGGACAACTTTGGTACGTCCGGGATCCGTCCCTTGAGGGAAAGGTACTGTCATGATTTGGTTTGGGACCAACAGGTGGCACTGTAGGGCTCCCCCTGCAACTGCACACCTGTTGGTCGTTTGGTAATTAGTGGCATAAAAGGACTCCCGCCCGACCCTTCATTGTCGGGTCATTGTGGCTGTTTGTAGGCTACTGTCATTGTTGTTCTCAGTCATGTTTCGGTCATGGTTTTGTTTTGGCTTCAGTCATGGCTTTGTTTGATACTTTGGATTGTTTTTGGTTTTCATGACTTCATTTGTTCTGGATTTAGTTTCTGTGTTTTAATTAGTGATGGTAAAATGAAGCCTCATCAAGCAATGAGGCTTTCCATCCAACTGGTTCGCTCCTGGGCCGAAGCATCATGAGGCTTTATTTTTACTATTGCGCCATCATGTGGAAAATAAATGTAATGACAGACAGTGATGAAAATGATACCTTGGATTTGATGTAGGGGTAAGATCGGGCCAAAAAAAAGTCCAGCCCGACCTGGCCCGCTGGTATTTAAGCCCGACCCGGACCGAGCCCGACCAATTAACTTGATTTGCAGGCCCGAGCCCGAAGCAAACCCGACATTTCCTATTAAATTTGTGATGACTCGGGAGGAGGAGGTGTGATTTGTGAAAACATATTAAAGCCTGTCTTTTGTCACGAAATCTAAGTTCATCAAGTCGGTATAATTATTTACATCTTTTAAATATGTATTCCTGTTTCTGCAGAGGGTACATTAACTGACAATTTTCCATCATTGACGCATTTTTTTTAAGAGTTGGAGGAAAAATTCAAGGCCATCCGTCATTTTGACGGTTTGAAAATTGGGCCATAAACCACAGCAGCAGCGCATCCTTAAGAATCTAGCCTGGCACCATTAGAGAGAGAGGCAGAGAGACAAAGAAAAACAACGACAGCTGGATAATAGTGTAGCGTGGCCAAAAGTGGTATGACCTTGGACCCAGACACTCTCTTCTCCTCTGAGAGCTCGACGGTGGCATCATTAAATGAGGACAGCACCTGCAGACTCTCAGATATCAGCCTCAACTGGTGGGATGTGAGTGGGGTAATGTCAGTGTGTAGGCCTGCCAGGGCTGCCCCTACGGCTTCCCTGAGGTTGTAATGCATTGCAACATGTGGAAGATGCTGTCCCAGCGTGTCTCCACCTGAAAATAAAAGGTCAATCTTGTTTGAAAGGGGAGTGGAAGCAGTTATGGATGTCAACTTACCTCTTGAATGAGCTTCAACATAGGCTCTGTCGGCGTCATTTGCTCTTGCACCTGTGTCAGCCTGGTCTATAAAAATAAAATAGGAAACAAAACATTTTTCAAGTCATTTAGCATTAAATTGAATACTGCTGTGTAATAAAGGAATTCACCTTTGCAGTGGTACTGCTTTTGAAGTAGCCAACTATCCTCCTACACTGAGGACGGATCTCAGACAGCTCAGTGTTTTCTGCCAGAGCCTTCTTCACGATCAGATTTAATGTGTGCGCCACACAAATTGTGTGTGTAGCGCAGATGAAGGTCTTTGGCACATGCAGCCATGTTGGCTGCACCATCTGTCACAAGGCAAGTTACTGTGGTGGAAATGCCCCATTGAGCCATGAGTGCCGATTTAAGGGCAGCCATGTTCTCAGCTGTATGGCGGTTAGGAAAATGGAGCACACCTAACACAGCTGAGTGCGGAGAGCTGCGCTCATCAATGAAATGACAAGTGACAGCCAAATATGCATCTGTGTTAATGCTGGTCCACATATCTGCTGTTATGCTCACTGCAGAGGACTTTGCTACGAGCTCTTGGGCCTTCTCCTTTGCCTGCTGGTATCTCTCCTCCACCATGACTTTCAAAGTCTAAAGGAAACGAGAAAGAACACGATTGGAAGAGCAGTTATGGGGGAATGGGGAATATTGATTCATTTGCTCTCATACACCCCTGCCTGGTGGGGAGAACATATGTAGGGTCGAAAGCTTGGATAAGCTTCCTGAACCCTGTGTCCTCCACAAAACTGAAGGGCTGGCAATCTTCAATCACCATATTGATTAATGCCTCTTCCACTGCATTCTTATTCACTGCAGTTTAACAGAGACAGAGTTAGTGATAGATGTCATTCATTTCATCTGTCACATTTGAATCATACATGGTATGCTATACAGTTTTTTCATTGCATGTTCAAATGCCGTACCTGGGTGTGTTCTGTTTGAGTTGTCTCCTTATTTTCATGCATAATGCCTCAAAATAGTTGAAGTGTTCTCTTGGTACCCAAATTCTTTGGAACAAAGTTTACACTTCATCTTTTGAAATATCAGCAAGGAGAGGGAAGACATTAAAACAAGGGATGCTCTGTGCTGTCACAATGATTTACAATATATATTAACACTGGTTATTACAATTTGTACCTTTTTAGGAGAGATCTGCTCAAAAGGATCCCAGACAGGGGCTGTTCTCTTTTTCATTGTGGACGGTGGGGTGCATCCAAAGCCGTCCATTGCAAAACAAATTGGATTGAAGTGAATTGCGGTTTGCAGATGCAAGTTGGGTGTGTCAGTGTCACCTGTCAGCTCACTGCTGTCCAGGTGCGCCGTTTTATTTCAAATCACCCGTGAAGCTATTTGTTGGCGGTGACTTAATCCCGTCTCGCGAGGCTTCGGACGTAGCAACGTGCATTCCGAGGCTTCGGGCGTGGCCACAGCCGTCATCGACACATGCCTTGAAGCGCGCTTCGCAGATTTTTTTCAGGTTTACTCGGCACACGCATCGGAGCCTCAGCACCGTTGGGCACATCGCTAGTTTTTATACCACTCGTCAAGTTCACCCTGCTCCTCCCTCTTGCCTGCTTTTTGGGGTCCACCACCACCTCACTACGTGACAAACTCTGACTAGTCATTCATTTTTGGCAACTTTTGCCACTTTTGT